AAAATTGTTCTGCATCCTCTTGTTTTGTTTTAGTGTCTTGCCCAGAACTTGCAATATGGTTCCAACAAGTCCATGTTGATGTCAAGCAGAGCAAAATAATTGCCTTCCTTATCTTACAAAAGATTTTTCCAGTAATATATCTAAGAACTAGATTTGATTGTTTTGCAAGACCACAACAGTATTGATTCATATTCTGTTTATTAACCATGATGATTCCATGTTGCTCCTGCAGCAGATGCTTACTAGTTATTTTGTAGCCACAGCCAATGTACTCAGGACAATATTAGATTTCATCTGGTGGACTGCCTCAGATTTATCTAAATAAATTGGTACTACTAAAACATGTGTTTGTTTTTTGTTTGTTTGTTTGCTTTTTAGCAGACTGGTTACAATTAATACTTTCTATAAAGCCAGAATCAGGTATGTCAATAAAAACATTAAAGTCTCACTTGCTCTTTTCCCCAGTAATCGCATTACACTTTACCTCTACTACATACAACCTTTCCTTGTTGCTTTTTTGACCTCTGGTATGAGTCACTTTGCTTCTCAATCTGATTTTGTAATAATTTTCTTCATTATGCCTTTACATTCCTCCTCAGTTATCCACCTTTCTTCCCACTCTTTTTTGTAGAATACCTCTTGGATTTCAAGATCTGTAAAAATATCCTTACTGAACCAAAATATCTTATTATGTCTTCTCTTCACAGAACTCCACAGTTCTTCTGACATCCCATACTCATCATATTACCTTTCTAAAAGCCCTAGTACTTCCCTAAATTTGTCAAGTGGAAGAACCTCTTAACCGAAGTCCATTATTCCTATTCTCGATAGCCTTAATGAAATCTGAACTGACTATTGTCCTTAACTTTTTAAATATGAAGGGATAACACTGTCGATCACAAGAAACTGTGAAGTCTTGTCTGTGCCCCAACATTACTTTTTCAGCTACCTGGGAAATTAAAATCTACCATTACTACTATTTCTCATCCCTTGGGCATTTCTGTCAGAGATGCACAAAAGTCATCTCCAGTGCATCTGTTTGTATTTCCACACAGATATTCAACAAGTCTGACTCTCACCGCTCCTTAGCTTCAGAGCAAGTATATGTGGTTAGGACACGCAACACTACACATCCTCTCTTCACACCTACCTATCCTTCAGGAGAAATTCTCTCCAATCTCAACTAGTAATGTGCTCTGTCCTGTCATGTCTAATATGTTTCAAGTAAAATTTTGAATAGTGATGAAAAAGATGAAAGAAAGGATCTGATAATGGCAAAACAGCTCATCTGAGTGAACAGTTATATTCAGTAGCCACTTCATTTCCATGAAGAATGGTTGATTTTTTTGTGTATTTAACTGGTGTATACATAAAAAGAATGAATTCATATACATATATATATGAATGAACAAACCTGTTTAATTTATATATGTGTGTGTATATATATTTGTCCAAAGTTCAGTTTTGCAGAATGATTTCCTTTGTCTTCTCTCTCCCCCTTGCAACACAGAAAAGTTCTAAACCATGAAATGTATGACAGAATGGAATCATGGTTTCTAGTGATGTTTATACCTCCAGACCTACTACTGCTGCTAACAAAAAAAAAAAAAAGGAGATGCAGACTCCTAGGGAATTGTTCCTTATACAACCACATACAAATTCAGTTTCAAGTATTGCTGCTGTGCTTCTCCCAGAGACATATGCCCTGGGCAGTGCACAGCATCTTCTCTGAACATGCGGGAAAAAAGAAAAAACAAAAAAGAGAAGAGAAGGGGAGAACAAGAAATGTCAGAAACAACAAAAACAGGAAAAAAAAAAAAAAAAAAAAAAGTAGTGGGGGAAGGTAGTGTTGTAGAGCACTTAGAAATATCCCGTGTCATGCCACAAGAAGAAACAACACGCATCTATGAAAGCCAATAGGTCACTTCACCAACACATCAAGGCATAAACAGCACAGAGGTAAGCAGAACACTAGATAGGTTCTAAAATATTTTCCTGAGAGTCAAAATTGCTGGCTATTGGCAACTCCCAATAAGCATGGACTAGCCATTGTTCTCAAGAGTTGTTTGCTTTTGTGAGAGTGTTTTAAAAATCACATGTATTTTGGCTTCTGAAAAGCTACTTGGCATGATTAACTCAGAATTCACATACAGACACTACCTAAATGAATGCAAGGAATCATTTGGTATTTCTAGTTAAATAAAAATGAAGAAGAAAAATCTAAAATAGGAAGGGTGATTAGAAGTACATTTCTTTTTTCCCCTTGTATCTTCACTACTTTCAACAGCTCTGCAAGTTTGAAATATAAAATGTTTGAAATGAGAAAAGTAGACATGCTTGCAAAAGTTTATTTTTAAAACAGTATGGTTGTTATGACATATTGGAAGATGAGGAGAAAGGCAAATAATGACTTCAAAGAGGACATAGGAGAGCATGATGTTCCCTGAAAAGGCCTGTCTCTATGTATTCTTTTATCCAGAAAAACTTGCCATGTAATGTTTCAGCCTTCCAACCCTTTTTCCAAAGATGACTGACTTGTTTTGCACCACCAGCAGCATCCAAACTGAATGGATACCTCAGCAGAGACTCAGGTTATTAAATACTAACAAATGCAGGGCTCTTGACAGCAAAGCATTGCAATTTGAATACAAGTCTAATAGCCCACATTTGTTCATTTGCACTGTAATAAGCTTACCAGACATACAGTTTTAAGTTAGCTTGGTAGTGTTGCTTATATAACAAAATTAAAGTGATAAAATAAGTTGAAACTCTGAAATTTAACTCCTGTTCTGGCATATGGGACAGAGACACAATTAAAAAAAATAATAAAAGTTTATTTGGTTATCAGTGCAGAGACACTAAAGTATGATTAACTCAAGTAAGATTTAATAATAAAATTCTTGTAGGAATAATACTGTACTAAAAAGCTGTTCTTACTATAGCCAACTAAGTTTGAAGTTATGGCCTTGATGAGAGGTGGGAGACAGAGCAGATAGTGAGAGGGTGTTCAAGATCAGCATTCATCACATGTATTTGGCATTATTTTACAGAATGCACTACACCTGGCAGGCTAGGTACGGAACTGCATCAGAAGAGCTGATTTGGCTGTTGGGAATTAAAGTCAATTCCATTCTGCAAATCACGCTGCCTAACCACACCCAGTCAAGGAATAGCATATTTTCCAACAAGTAACAATGCAGTCCTCATTGATACTAGCTGGAAACGTTTGTGGACAACATACTCAGTTTGACTTCTTGGTAGTATAGGGAAATGCACGCTATTAAATAAAAAGCAAGCCCTAAGGAATCTAACCTTCTACAGATACACCCCTGTGGATGTGTCAAGTGTTTTCTTTTCACAATAGCTCTAAGCATACAAAGACCTAAAACAAACAAACAAAAAACAACAGGGGGAAGGGTAATCTACATTTCCTTCTCTTTTAGTAAAGATTTATTTTCTGTAGTTTCAGGAAGCTGAAAAAGTTTATGCACCTATTTGAATTTAATTGCATGTTGACATACTTATAAGTATGTGTATTAATATTTGTCAATACATTTCATTTATATTGCACGTTGTGCCTGTAGTATTAAGTTCCCTATACTTTGTTGGCTTGCATGGAAATTGAGATCTTTTTCTTGTGAAAAATTAATTTGTACTTCAGATTTGAATTTTGCCTCCCTATCCAGTCTGTAGCCATAACAGAGAAAAATTGAAGTTCTCAAAATAAGAGCAGACACCTTTTGTGTCTGTGTGTGTATGTATGCATGCACATGTTTGTGCCTGAGTGCTGAAGGTTTTTATTTGTGATGTTACACATTCAGGTTTCATGAAGTGAGTTTTAACATCAAAACAATAACAGCAGCAATAACAAATTCACAAGCACTCCCTCCCAATAAATGTTTAAGGAAATATGCACTATGTTATCTTTATGTGAATATAAACATTGACTCTCAGGGCATCTTGCTGACATTTTGTAATGGGCCATTACTGCAGCTGACAAATCAGGAGGTACATAAACGTAACAAGGCCTAAAAAAAAATTGTAAAGCCTTTACAAACAGATATTTTAGTCTCTCCCCACTCCACCCCCTTAATTATGGAGCTTTTGTAATGCCACACAGTACAATTTACCGTTACTATTAGAAGTAATCTATCCTAAATTATTAGCTAGGTGCAAAGAAAGGAATGAGAAATTAACAAAGGAATTGGTTATTAAATTGGAGATTATGCATTTAAATTATAAAACTAAAGCAGTGAATACTGCTCTTTTAAAATTAGATATCATGCTATCCTTTAATGAATCAATATTAAAAACAAAACTATATAAAATTGTGCCATTTATCTTTAACAATCGCTGATTTATAAATGATTATACATGGTACAACATTTCAAGCTTTCCACAGCTTTATAAATATGAGTTTGCACTGATTCCCATTAGGGCATCATGGTACTAAGGTAAAATAAATCACCATAGTAGCAGGACAGGATACCATTTGCTGCAAAGAGGAAATCTCGCATTTTACATCTATGCTATCCTGGATCTTAGCCAAAACACCAACACAGTTCTGCACTAGAGAAAACCCGCATATTTTGTAACTGCATATTCTTAACAAGCTAAACTTGCAACTCTTTTGTCTCATGGTATGTGAGTACAGGCTTTCATAGCAATGAAGAGTGAGATTCTGATAGATACATATATTTTTATTTGAGATTTGAGACATTCTCTGCTTAGAAAATAGACATCAGGGTGAGGTCAACATGAAGGAAAAAAAGTCTCCCAGATTCTACAATGTATATTGGAAGCTTTATTTTTACCTTCGGTATTCAACGTATACCAACTCAATTGAGACAGTCAAGCTACAGCACCACAGTTTGCCTTTTGTACCATTCAAAAAGCAAAAATGGTAAAAGGGTATGCTCAGTTTGGTGTATCAAAACACATGAAACAGAAGATGGTGACGAATGAATGTAACAAGCTATGTTGTCTCTTGACTTTCTTACCTCATTTACATAGACCCAGTGACTATCCTTTGATGCAAGGTTGGTTTCCACAGCCTACAAAAATAAAAAGAAATATAATAAAAATAAATAAAACATGTGAAACATATTCCAGAGAGAACTTACATTAAAGGTACTGTAACAGCTCATTTTGATTGCTTTCATTGCCATTGGCATTGTTTCAGTACAGTTTTTTCCATCTCTTTCACTGCTACTTGATCAAAAGGTACATTATGGGTGGCAGTCACATTTCTCTGACTTCTATATCTAAACCAAAGTACTGTGTATCACGAAGATATTCTGTAGATGTACCAGGAAAGCCTATTGCAGCAGTGTGGTACATCGATATGATAAGAGGTCCTGTGATGAACAACTGCATGCAGAGCGTATGTGGTACACGAGTTTTAGCTTCCTTACAACATTTATAATGGATCCTAGTAGGTTCTCTTTTCAACATGCCTCCCAAAATATATTACCTCTGCTTTATTACAATTCTGACGGATTAACTGCTAGTTTACCTAGTTAGTTATAAACACTACTCTGAGACACTCAAGAGAAGCTCATATGAGTCAGCCTCTCTTCAGATTTACATAAGGCTCAAGAGAAAGTTATAATTTGCATGGATACTTTTTCTGGTTTCCTGGTATGGACTTGGATAATCGTTACATATAAATTAAAACAGCCCATCTCATCAGACAACATCCTTATCAGTACACAGATAACCCTCATAGTTCACTAGGAAGGTAAAACTGGAAAAGACCCCTAGCACAATAAGCACTACTGGTAATGAGGACCTCAGTGGAAGGATTGGGCCATACACATGGAAGATTCTAATTTGTTTCTAATGTCTAACAGAGAAAATCTCACTTTGAGTTATTCTGCAGTCTAATAAAGCTATACCAACCATCAAGAGGTGTACACTACAGTGATAATGATACCACTAATGTCCTGCTTAACACATAGTTAAACAACTATTGTGGATTCATCTCACCTAATAAAACCGGACAGTCCCAGCGCAGGCATGTATTTCAGGAGGCAGTTCATTACACAAAGCCAGTTTTTCACGTCACTGCCTTCCTTGTTTTGTGACAATAGTACCCCATTTATCGGGCAGATATTCTTACAGCCATGTTATAAATGGCCCTATGAATCACTGAAATGAACCTAGTTAAAAACAAACACAAATGACCAAAATCCTTCCAGTTACCGTTTTTTAACCTGGATAATTTCCCCGTTCACTGTGTGTGGCCTCAAAAACAACTTCACTGATATAAAGAGGCTCCATAGACTGCGGCACTGGGCTGGGAAGGAACATCATCAACCACCATCCTCTCCAGAATACATTTGCATAATAAGACTCTCGGATACTTAGCATCAGATGGGATGAATCACCTTCTCTCATGACACTGACTACAGATGACTGGCTCAGAATAAACGCCCACAACTTACAAGGCTTAAGTGCAATGACAAGACACCCATCCTTAATACGGGCAAAGGGAGTACTGTTACCTGATCCTAGCAAGAAAACAAAACAAAAATTGGCTACATAGCCAACATCTACAGCTTTAACGTCACTCTTCATTTATACTCCATTAAAAAATAACTGTATATTACTTGCCTAAGTAATGGTGTTTTACAATTTTACTCATTTGTTCAGACTACACTAACCAGAGAGAAAATTGTGGGTGTTACACATGCCTCAATCTATTTCTCATCTCCACAGGGTGATATACTCCTTTAAAGAGACAAAAATCCCCAAAGACAAACCAAAAAGAAGTCAAAGGAGAAAAATCATCACAGACAGAATGCAGTATTTCTCATCATTATTGTAAACAGCATTATGGCAAGTGCAACTCTCCCTGGTGTCAGAGTAGATGAGAACCACTAAAGATGACACCTCTGACAAGATAATCCTCCTCTAAGCATGCAGTGAAAAATTGTCTCCCTTGGTTAAATGTCTACCTTGTGTTTCTTTTAAACTGTCTCCAAAATTAAACTGACCACCTAATTGAGGGACTGCAGCTCCTAGGAAAGTGAATAGTGATGAAAACTTGCAGATTTTTTCCCTGTTCCCTGTCTAACACATTCTTCAGACAAAGCCAAAATAGCCAGGTGCTGTAACGTATAGAAGAAAAGCAAAGCGCTGCCAACATTAGCAAAGCAGAACGAAATAACACTCAGGTGCAGAGTTATTGCATTGGCTACATTTTGTGATTTATCTGCAACAGTGAGCAATTTGTATGAATAAACGTTATGTCTGGGGTGCTAAAATAGCCAAGGAATTTCAAATGAATTATTGCAACTCATTCTTCTGGGTTCACATATCTGGGTCAAGGTTTTTAAAACAAGGTGCCTATATTTAGGATGCTAAAAGTTTATCTCCAGTCATCAGAATGCTAAACCATTCAGCACCTCCTACAGAAGTCAATGGCTCTGCACTCAAGAAGCCTGAAATGGATTTAGAAACATAACTACAGGTAGGCAAGTTTAAATGTCTATAAATATCCTTTGTTTAGAACTGCAACACATAGCATGAAGCACTATTCCAAACCCAGGCGTTCTGAGAGGAGGAAGAAACTTGGGTTTGCATTTTGTGCTTCAGGCTTTCAACCATATTTACTGACTTGTTGCCCCAAAGAACCCTAAAATATCCTAAAAGGAACTATTGAAAGAGATTTCTTGGAGACTTCAACCCTTCGATAACACCAGTGTATCAGAAGTGTATTGCCAGAGGCCCAAGGAAATTAAATAGTGTGAAGAGCAAGGTCCTGGAGACATGGGATATTGTAAACAAATTCCTTCAGAATTCTCGGAAAATAAATAAATGTTTGCAATTTATATAGTTTCTTGTTCATTAAAGAATAAAAAGTATCAGCACTTAGGAGATTATGGTCACCCTTTTTTTTTTTATTATTATTGTTTAATTATTCAAGCTGTTCAAGATATTAATGTTTTAAGCTTGTGACTCCAGCCATTCAAAAAAAAAAAAAAAAAAAAAGTCTACCAAACATCCTGAAAGATCTTTTACAGCCTGTTTCATAAATGCATCCTTTATTAAAAAAAGCAGGTTAGAAATCTCTGTGATCACCACAGCCAAGGAAAAGTTCTGCAATATATTTGAGCAGAATTCACACACTAAAATGAATTTTTGATGAAAAAAAATTATGTACAAAATATCCTATTTTTTAATATATTCTATATGCATAGAGAGTCTATCTGAGACTTTGAGAGTAATGTCTCACAACATTTCTATCAAATAGAAAATCTGCTGTTGAGATAAACAGCACACTGGAAATTAAAGAGAATCCATCTTTCCTTTCTTTTTACCTTAGCATAGCAAGTAGTTTCCACAAATTTGGAAAAAACAGGTGCTGTGCGACCGTATCCCCTTCTTCCTCTCCAATTACATTTCAACAACTGGACATTAAAATACAATGATAAAAGAAAAGAATGAAATACTTCACGAAAAGCGATCAGATATTTTCATGTAGATGGTTTTGTTTACTTTTATGTATAACTTACAATAATTTACTGCCAATAGTCCATGACAACAATATTTTATTGGAATCCCGTGGAGAACAAACATTTACGTCGCCGTTCTGAGTAACTAACTCTGCTCATTATTTTACCTAATGGCAGCTGCAGAATTAAAGGGAGAAGTCAGGAAGGTAAGCAACAAACACCACTATGTTCACAAACAAAGCAATTCTGCAGAAAACAAACAAGCCAACCAGAAGCAGTCCCTTCCTGCCCTTTTCCAAAAATCTGAAACTAAAAAAAAAATTCCAAGCACATAATGACTGGGTAATAGAGAGAAGGCTATTTTCTACACTACCTGGATGCTTTGCAAGGGACAGCACCTCAGCATTAACAGTAAAAAGCCGACTGCATAGAAGGGCATGTAGCAGCCAGACACAACTTAGAGGACGAGATGCTGATGAGTGTCCCAACAGAGACGGGCAAACGGTGTTCCAGGGACAGCAGCGTGTGCTGAGGAGTTTAGGTTCCCGTGCATCTGTGTTATAGTTAACCCTGCTGTCTCCTTACTGCATGTCGAGGGAAATAGGTAGTAGGAATATCTGGAAGCCCTGTAACCAGCCCCAGGATCTAAGAAAGAAGTGTCTTACAGATGGAAAACACAGATGGTCCTGTTGTGTCTACAGTTTTGGAAACAAGGGCTGCCACCCTGAAATACGTTATACAAAAGAAAAACCAGCGTGTTTTGCTAAAAGGGATATCAAAATAGTAAACGATGTTACTTGTGAATTTTTTCCACTTTAACGGAGGGGAGATATAGAGCATCATAGCTTTCCAGAAAAATAAAATAAATAAAATAAAATAAAAATAAAAATAAAAATAAAAATAAAAATAAAAATAAAAATAAAAATAAAAATAAAAATAAAATAAAAGGTGAACTGGTGAGTTCACAGTTACAAAATCATTCAGAAAGTGTCCTAAGAGATACTGAAAGAAAAAAGCGGAGTTTTTGCCAACCAATGACTAGTGACAGCTGGCAGCAGAGAGCAGATACACCTGCAACATGGCGAGTACTCCTGGGGGCACTGACAGCTACACCCGGCCACCTCAAGAAGGCAGCCCCAGGACCCAGACCCCACCCCACTGCTCCTCCTGTGCAGCTGTCTTCCAGCTTCCAACCCCACTGAGAAACAGCTTCATCGCTGGCAAATATCACAAAGTACTGGTTCATCTCAGGGCCTTTGTCAACTTTTCCTTATTCATGTTTCTAATACAGCCAGTATGTTAATGACAGAAACTTTTTTAATAACATATTTATTACTCACAATGAAAGGATAAGTAAAGAAGGGCTTGAGGAAATAATCACGTCTAATTCTCACCTCTTTGCAAATGTGATAAAAGATACTATCAACCCTTACAATTCATTACTTGCTTGCTCATTTTATATTTGCCACTGAACAGGTTTACAAAAAAAAAAAAATAAAAAAGTTGCTCTTGTCCAAAGCATTTTTTTTTTCCCCTTCACATCCTTTGGGAAAGGATTTAACCAAACTCTTTTTTTATTCTTTGTCTCATATTCC